CGCCACTGCTGCCGCCCCCGATGAAGGAGGCCGCGTCCAGCTTGAGGGCATCAATGCAGTTATTGATGATCTGGTTGACCTTGTCCACCTCCTTGGCGATGGTGGAGATCTCAGTGGCCGAGCCCTGGTTGTTCCCCGCACCTGGGCGGTTACCCTCAGGCTGGGCTGGGCCATCCCCGCCGGTGCCAGTGCCGGGGCCGGTGCCGGGGCCGGGGCCGGGGCCGGTGCCAGTGCCGGTGCTAGTGCTGGTGCCGGTACGCACCTCCATGTAGTTGCCCTTGGTGGCCACCTTGGGCGTGTCCAGCCCAGCCTCCAGACCCTTGGCAGTGGGCAGCTTCTCCCCAATGATGGACGGGAGGGAGGACATGCGGGACACGGGCAGCACTGGGGGCTCGCCCAGCTTCTGGGCGGCATGCACGATGGAGCCGGCCTCCATGTCGGCCCCGTAGCGCATCTCCAGGATGGTCTTCTTGACCTTGCCGCACTTCTGCTTCTCCTCCTGCATGCGCCGCTTGCGCAGGCAGTAGTAGACGGCCCCCAGCACGATGACCATGCCGAAGAGGCAGCCCAGGATGGTCATGATGTAGTGGGTGGTGGTGGAGGTGCTGGGCGCCAGGTCCCCCGGGACCGGGTCGCGCGTGGTGAAGGCCAGGCAGGTGTGGTTGAAGCGGCGGCTGTTGCGCAGCGAGGTCACGCAGAAGGTGTACTCGGTGTGCGCCCGCAGCTTGTCCAGGGTGACGATCTCCTTCTTGTTCTTGAGCGTCATGACGTCGGAGATGTAGCTGTTGTTGTACTGCACCAGGACGTACATCTTGCTGTAGGGGTGCGGGATGATGACCACCAGGGTGGCCGAGGTGAAGGTGACGTGGTGCAGCTTGATGGCCGGCCCGGCGGACGCGTCCGTGGTGGACGAGGCGTCAGAGAGGAAGGGAGAGGGAGAGAGAGAGATAGGAACATCAATGATGAGAAAGAATCATCGGTTGGCGGCCTCCTGCATGCCCCCCACAGAAGCCCACACGGACATGTGGTGCCCTTGACTGGAATCAAATCCGGGACCCTTTAGACCACAGGCTGATGCTCTACCACTCCCGCGGGGACTCACACTGCAGGCGGTCGTAGTTCTTGGTGACGTTGTTGAAGACCACGAGCCAGGTGAGGAAGCCGTAGAGGTCGCACTCGCAGTTGAAGGGGTTGCCGGCCAGTTCGCACACCATGAGGCTGGCCAGGCTGGCGAAGGTGGCGCCGTCCAGGCGGCAGGGGCGGT